TTGAAACACCCGTACCGGTAACAAACAGTCATCAAAACCCCATGAGGAATAGCTCAAGCTGCAAATAAACCGGCATCATAAATGGACTTTTCCAGGATTATCTTGTCTCTATCAAGCAATTTCCAGGCAAGAGAAATTTATACTTGTCTGCATTTTCCAATAGATAATCAGGAAGATGAACTGGAGAATAGGAAGAAAAGCAGGATCACCTTGAACTGCATCAATGTCACCACACCTCAAATAAATGTTGATCAACGTTCAGGCATTTTATCAAACACCTTCCACGCATCTTACAACCCAATGAAAATACTGAATCAAAATTGTATCAACATACACCCAAGCTAGTTGGGTCATAACAACCTCTGCCTAGCACGCATAAGGAAATGTCTATAGAGTGGACGAGGTACGTGAGTGCCAGAATCAACAACATCAACGCATAGGCAATGCCTTGATCAGAAGAATTTTTAATATATTATATCATTCAAATTGAAATAAAGATACAGTTAATAAATTCTTTTATTGATTAGAAGAATTTTTAATATATTATATCATTCAAATTGAAATAAAGATACAGTTAATAAAATCTTTTATTGATTAGAAGAATTTTTAATATATTATATCATTCAAATTGATAAAATCTTTTATTGATTACAAGAATTTTTAATATATTAATTGCATCTAATTTTGGAAAGTAGATTACTTATAAAAGGTGCAGTAATTAAAATAATTTCAAAAAATACAGCTATAAAAAATTTTAAAACAGAAAGATTGCTATGAAATCTTTGAATCCTTTTTTATATCAACTCAATTTATTAGTGATTCATTCTCACAGGGCAAAAAAGATAGCCGTTAAAGACACCTATTACCGGAAAGAGTTTGATATGTTTTAATTGCTCAAACTATTTTAGGAAATAATCACTTAAAACACAAGTTCATAAGTCAACAAACAAATCATTTTTTCTATATCTGAATCTTTTATTTCACTCTAAATCTACTCATCTAATTATTTATCTCCTATAAATAGAGTCGTCCCACTCTTATAAAACCCCAATGCATGAGCCTTCCACCAACACAAGAAAAAGAAAATTAGGATTGTGAGAGTAAAAGAAAGAGATGGAACAGAGTATTGGCCATGGCCCAATGGTGTCCACCACGTTCAGTCAAACGGAATGGGAAGATGCTCAATCCCTTCTTCTCTTGTCTCGAACCCCATTTACCGGGGGTTGCAAAAGAATGAGATCAGCAATTCAAATTCCCCACGGTGGTGCTGGCCATGGCGGTGGCGGAGCCGATGTGACCCCTTCGTGCAACCCAATGATGATGAAAACAAAAGCTTTGAGTCCAACAACACCTATGTCCTTCTTGCCTACCCAAACTGACGATAACCCGAAACCCTTGAGAAAGAAACTTCCTTTCAAAAGGGTATGTAATGTTATCTTCCCTAACTTTTTTCTCTCTTTTTCTAATTGCTTCTTGAATCTGATGATGGTTTCTCGACATTTTAGTGATGTTTATAACATATTCATTAATTTTTCCTATTTCGTTGTTTGAAAAAATTAAAACGTTTTAATAATTATATACAAAAATAAAAAAAGATTTCTTATGTTTTTTACGTTATCTAATCGTTGGGTTTTGATTTTTGTGTCAAATTTTACTGAAGAGAGAAGACCATGTTACTATCGTAGAAGACTTGGCAAAAGCCAACGCTGTGCTGAACAAAGTGAGTTAATTATTCTTTTTCTTACCTTTTAGTTTGAATTATTTGTCTTTTCTTGAATTCTTGAACCCACATTTTTTAATTATTTAGTTAATTATACTTACTGTTTCATCTATGAAATCCAAACAGGAGATAGACACTCTCAGACAGTATGATGAACCGAGAAAGGTCATTAAGTTGAAATTAAAAGCAAAGGTACATTGTAGTAATCTTCTTTCTCTTACCTTTTAGTTTGAATTGTTTTTGTCTTTTCTTGAAATCTTGGACCCCTTTTTTTATATTCCTTCTTATTGTTTCATCTATGAAATCTAAACAGGGGATAGACATGGTGAGGCAGTACGATGATCCGGTGAAGGTCATTAAGTTGAAATTAAAAGCTAGGGGAGATAAGGATGCAGATTCTCAAGCTCAAGAATTCCATCAGAAAAATTAAACAACATTCGCCTTCTTGTCAACCGTTTAATGAGATTATAGCTAAAAATGATTTGGGTATAAACAAGGCAGCTCAAGCAAGGCAGAGAAGGATTCAGATTCTCAAGCTCAAGAATTCCATTAGAAAAATTAAACAACATTCTTCTTAGTTAATTAGATGATGATAACATATGCTCATTGCTTTTTCTTTTTCTTTTCTTTTTTTTTTCCATTTTTTTGTTTTCTTTTTCTCATTCACTTTGTAGTCAAAAATTTTTTGATGTAGGATTGGAGTTGCGGTAGTGTAGTAGGAAACCTCAATCCTACACCAAATTTGTTTTTGAGATTTGGTGATATTATTGTCAATGATATATTGTTGGAAAAAATATGTGACAATAATCTTTTAGATTTTAGATTTTACGAAAACTCGAATTAGATTTGGAAGTAAACACGACGAGCTCAGCATAAGGAGATTATAATATTTTTTTAATCGTTTGACATGTTACATTCTTATTTTTTCTATCATTACTTTTTTCACTATTTAGAAGTGCTTTTAGTAGATGAAATCCCTTCGCATGGAAAACTTCTCTATTTGGTGTATTATAAAGACAAACTTCAAAAACAAAATCTTAAGAACTGAAACAAAATCTCAAGCATTGTCCTATGGACATTAGAAATAAAATTCATTCAAATTAATTCTTCCAAAGAAGAAGTTAATAAAATATTGTGAAACACTTGTAAAAGATGAAGTAATAGCTACTGCTATAAAAGTCTTGCTATATGTGTCGTTGATGGTCAGGTTAAATGTGTAGGTCTATACTAGACGAGTCTTATCTTACATTTGGAATATTGGAAAAGCCTGAGTATATAAATCTAACATATGAATTTTGGATCACATGAAAACGCATCAACTTTTGTATTAAGAATAAAGATAAAGAGTCTAAAAAATTACATAAATATATATAGCATACTTAAAAAATTAATAATTACAATAACTATGCCATAAGTTTTTGTACTCTAGGTTTATACAAGCTTATTTTTTCCTAATCCACTTTATGTCTCTTTTGCATTTTTCTTCCTCTTTTTGATGTCTCTATTAGTATTATCCAAAGTCAAACCGTAAAGATTAAAAAATAAAATAAAAATGTAAATGATATGATCACAATATTTTATAACATTATTTTTTGTAATTGGCATGAAATGTAAAAAAATGAAAATAGGCTAAAATCAAAGCCACGTAGCTTAAGTGAGATTTTGAATCCCAAATAAAATAATCTCCAATTATATTCATCAAATTATCTTATTTTATCTTTAAAATAATTACCATTGGGCTCGATCTTTTGCCTTTCAACTTCATCATATAGTTGCATAAGAAATTCACCTTACCATGAATAAAGGAATATCATTTGGTAAACCCACAATTCATGAAATCTTTGTTGGATATATGCTCTTTTGGTCACTAAAGTCCTATTGGGCTTTAGTGACACTTGAGCCCATGAGGCTTAGGGTTGAGTTATGTCTAAGACCTAAGGTATATATTCATAGTTTTCTCCTCTTGTGCCTCGAAGGTGAACAGATCATCAGAAACAAACCCAAGAGGCAGACGTTCATCATCTGAACGGTTGCCCACACAACCATCTCATCCTCCTCGAGAGATAGTCTGGAAGATCGATCATAGAGGGAACAACTATTGTTCGTGGTCACACAACTACGCCCTTCCAGGTAATCAAAACGATGAAGGTTAATCTTTTCCCTCGTCGTGTCGGTTCGATGCGCTTCCGCGTTTCTGATGATATACCTACAATTGGTATCAGAGCCGGATCGCGATGAGGAAAAGAACCAGTTTTGAAATAAATTTGTGTGATTGTTTTTGAAAATTATTTTTTGAAAATATGGCATCTTTTTCTATATTTGGATTGAGTGGGCTCATTACTGCATAGTAGCTATTATGTCTTGCCACAAATCTGGATTTTCTAGTGTGATGCGCGGCAAAACAGTTAGTATGCGGTTTATGATTATTTAGGGGCTTGAGACAGATACTTGGACGGAAAAGGAATTTCAAAGTTGTAATTTTATTTATTTATTGATTATCATTGGATTATTTATTTATTATTTAATGGATTTAGTTAATGTGCGATCTGATGATGAAATAACATGTCATATAGAATAGGAAGATGCCATATTGTTGCATGATCACATGTCATTTGCATAGTAGCTATTAGAGAAAATTGTTTTTTAGGTTGTCCATTGGAAAATAATTTTTTGTGGGTTTTTTTTGAGAAAATAATTTTTTGTGGTCATGGAGTAACACGTGTTGACGCAAAGTGACCGGATTTCTGAAATCAAACAATTTTTTTTTTGAATTAAACATTTCTTGGAAATTAAAAAATTCTAATTTTTAAAATATTGAATGGGTGAAGGTTTTAAATTAAATATTTAATTATAAAACCTACGGGCTCCAATTGTGGGTTTATTAGTGAAATGATTATCGCTGAAGCCCCATCGGATAAGGATAATCAGATTTCGCTAGATTAAACCTTAATATCTTCAAAATTTTGGTAAAGTTTTGTACGGCCCATCGTCGGCAACACTTAGATACTAAAGATAATTTTGACAATAAACAATGGTTAAATACATTCAACTTTAATAAAATTGTTATCCCTCCCATCGAGGCTCTGGCAATGGAACTGAAGGCCCAAAATAACAATATTAGTTTTACAAGTATCTTGCCCATCGTAAGCCTTGTAAAGATAGCTAATGGATTGTTAAACAATAAACGAACAGTAGTTATTAGAATCTACTAGCGCTATATCTGTTTGTTTTTTTTTTTTTCGAGTTTGTAAATAATGTGTGTAATTTTATTTTCAGAAAAATGTCTTCATTCAATCCTTTAGCTACTATTTTGAGTCAAAAACCAATGGATGGTACAAACTACAAACAATGGAAAACAAATCTGGATATTGTTCTTCAATATGAAAAGCTCAATTTTGTTCTGACCACCCCTATACCAGCGCAGCCTGCTGAAGATGCGCCTGAGGCAACAAAGGCCCAATTTCAACAGGAGAAGGAGAAATGGGAGAAGGCAAATGTGGCAGTTCGCTGTTACATTTTAGCCAGTCTTGCCGATCACTTTCAAGAGCAGGTAAGCATGGTTGAGAGTGGAGCAACTATGCTCCAGACTCTTGATGGCATGTTTGCTACATCTAGCAGCTCTGCTAGGCAGATTGCGCTGAATGCTGTCACTAAGACAGTAATGTCTGGAGGAAGTGTGCGGGATCATTATTTGTCAATGATTGCAAACTTCAAGAAGGGTGAGGATCACGGGGTCAAGTTTGAACAAGAAGTAAAAGTTGACCTTCTCTTGCAATCACTGCCTGAATACTTCACTCAATTCAAGATGAATTATAATATGAATAAGATGAATCTTAATCTTACTCAACTTATGCACGAGCTTGAGAGTGCTGAACAGTCTCTAGTCAAGCAGGGCAGTGCATTTTATGCTGGTGAAAGTTCTGTGAAACCTAAGGGGAAACCCAAGGGGAAGAACAAGAACAAGAAAAAGAAGAAATCAGGTATTCCAGTTGCCAAACTAGTTGCAATGAAGTAGCCGAAAGGTAAGTGCTTCAAGTGCGGACAAAATGGGCATTGGAAGAAAAATTGCCCACGCATGAATCAGCCAGGATGGGTAATTTACATGTGATTGAGGCTTGTTTAGTGGAGAATTACAATGATAAATGGATCATTGATTCAGGAGCCACTAACCATGTTTGTTACTCTTTGCAGTGGTTCAAACATAGCTTGCCTTTAAGTGAAGGACAAAAAGTTTTGAAGCTTGGAAATGGGGAGCTTGTGTCTGCACTAGCAGTGGGACAAGTTATTTTATCTTTTAATAATTGCAGAACTTTGGTTTTAGAAGACTGTTTATTTATTCCGGATTTTAAGAGGAATTTAATTTCTGTTAGTTGTTTGATTAAACATGGTTTAACAGTTCAGTTTAATTCCTCAGTTTCAATAAGGAGTTCGTCTTCTTTTATTTGTTCTGGCGTAATGTTTAATGGTCTTTATTTCCTTAGTCCTGTACCCTGTGTAAATAAAAAGATCTTTCAAGGCCAAGGGAAATCGTGCCACACATGGAATTGGTGCATACTGATGTACGTTGGGACCAATAAATGTCCAGGCCAGCAGCGGGTATTCAGGATTTATCACATTTACTGATGATTACTCTAGATTTGGACATGTGTACCTGATGCGTCATAAGTCTGAAGCTTTTGGAAAATTCCAAGAGTTCAAGGCTAAGGCAGAAAAACATCTTGGTGTTCAAATTAAGACTCTTCGGTCTGATCGAGGGGGTGAATACCTATCTGGAGAGTTCAGGCTTTACCTGACCCAAGAAGGGGAGAAGCTTCGATAATTATCTTCTCCAGGGACACCCCAGCAGAATGGAGTCGCTGAAAGGAGAAATAGAACCCTTTTAGAGATGGCAAGATCGATGTTCAATTATTCACCTTTGCCTGATTCATTCTGGGGATATGCCTTTGAAACTGCTATGTACCTTTTGAACTTGGCTCCATCAAAATCTGTTTTAAAGATTCCAATAGAATTATGGAAAGGGTGTAAGCCCAGCTTGAACCATATTTGGATTTGGGTGCTCCGACACATGTCTTACAACATAAGCCAAATAAGATGTACTCTCGTACAGAAGTGTGCATGTTTATAGGCTATCCTAAAGGAACCAGAGGCTGGTTATTTTATAGAAGTAAAGATGTTTTAGTGAGTACACATGCGACTTTCTTAGAGGGGAAACCACAATGGAAAATCACAAGCCGAGGAGTACGATTATACTTGATGAGTCAGACTCGGATCAAGTTTCGCCTCAACCTCAAGGGGCTTTTATT